AGTGTGTCAACAAGTTCAATAGCAGCATTGAAAAGTCCAATACGATTGGCAATAGAATCATTGATTGGATATATTGTATCACCATTACTAAACTTTATGTATTGTTGTGCACAATTTTATGGTAAGATACTTGTTATTTGTATTATGTATATATGAATAGGGATTGTTTTGTTTTATTTTAGTATATGCTTTTTCATCTGCTAGATTTCGCAGAGATTTTGTATCACTATTCTATTCACGAATAGAAAATAGAAACGATAGTAAACATGGCATTGGACCTACGACACATCATTTGACAAGACGTTAAAAAGATAATTAAGAAAGAAACTCATAATCTATGAAAAGCTTTTTCTCAGCATAAAATCTACTTAATATATATTGTAGTATTTTATTATATGTTTTGAAATAGATTTTTTAATTTATTGATCAGTATGAGAAGAACTAGAAAAATATCATATTTATAAAAATATATAAAGTTCAGAGATTAATATATTAATGATTTCATAAGGTATACTGCAATAAATGTATGTATGAAATATGATCATTCATTATGAGCACGACGATGCTTTTTCTTTGAGATAACACGATGTACAATATCATTTTTAAAATCAGTCCATTCTTTGCGTGTTTCTTGACTGACATATTCTCGACGAATATCATCTTGCGTTAAATGACCAAAAGTACGTTGAGTAGTTTGCAACATTAATTTACGTGTTACATCAGGTAATTCTATATTTTACAAACGATTAATAATTATAAATTAAGTAAACATATTTACCTAAAATTTTTTCCGGTCGGATTATTCCTAACCAACAATGAGTAGAAGTTACTATAGTACAAGTCTATAAAATAAACACATTCAAAATTGTTTGTACTCATTAAAATAAACTACCATGGCTTCTTGTGATATAACACTTATTTCACCAAATGAATCTGGTGCAGTAATTTTTCCCATTACTACCTGACGTAATTGTCGACTCTTAAGAGAAAAAAAAACATCTTAAGCAATATAAATAGTATCACATACTTTTGTACCATTTTGTTCTAGTTTAACAACATCAACTTTTCGTAAAATATGACATTCACCAATTTTTAAATACCCAATAAATGGACAACGAAAACCTTCACTTGCAATAACTAAACATAC